TGTCCTTCGATTATCATTTTGATGAGGTATTCCACTTCCAGTGCGTATCCTATAACTTTTCCCATGGAATGCGTTATCAATCAAAGCATGGCCTTTGCTGGTATGATGGTGGCTATCAGTTTAACATGTGCAAACGACCTCTTATTGGTTGCTAGCTCGTCCATTATCGGAGGTCAACGGGCAAAGAAAGGGGTCCCATTTTGCGCTTCTTGACGGATTTCTTTGCTTTTTTCGCCACTGGGGCATTATTCAGCATCTCCACTTCCACTATGAACCCAGTCCAATCTTATCGTAATCCCTCGCTTTAAGGTAAGCAATTGCGTACCAGCACGGTTTGGTTCTTATTTGTGGATCTAAATCATTTGCCTAAATCTCTGGCTGGGTTCCTGCTCGAATGGCGATTTGCATTGTAGCGGTTCCAGTCTGAGAAGTTTTCGTTCTTTCTTGTACCCTCTTGATTACCATGCAGCTCTCATGTAGGAACCAATGCTTGGTATGCTTGTCGGTCTGTGCACATGAGCTTATGTCTGGACCAAAAGTCCACAGCCTTCAACTGGAGAGGCTGGGTCAAGCTTGGGACGGATGGGGCATGGCAAGAACGTACAGAGCATACCCTACAGTGGGTGGAGCATACACCCAAGTAGATACTGCCAACTGCTGAATTTTTGCATTGGATACAGGAACATTCTAGAGACCGGTAAAGAGTGGAGAATGTGTTTAATGGGCTGCGAGCTCGATTAGAAGACCCATCCTCAGTGGGCGGAGTGTTCTGTAAATGGGCGATGCATTAATGCATAGATGCAACGCCGTTAATACTGGTTCGAATATAATTCTCTTATTTATGCCTAGGCGGCTTTAAAAGTGGAAGGAAATCGACGGAGCGGCAATGTTTTGAAGCTTGAAGTACACGTAAGACACATACCCTTCTTTGATTTTTGTTGCTGCCACTAATAGAAACATAATTGAGGGATGCATTTCTATGCATGTGAGAATGCGATTGCAGATTCTGCAACGTCTTGCCAATTGCCCAATTTTTGCTAATGTGCTACAAGCAGGAAAAAAGGAGTACTACTCCTATGTTGTAATGACACTCCTCGGCGCCAGCCTGGATACATTAATTGGGTAAGAAAATCAGAACAAAATCAAAAAACCCAAGGAAACAAACTCCTGCAAACTCTCGTGTGGGAAATCTATCACGTCTCGCACACCGTCGCGGGTTCGATTTGTGACTTGTCAGCTCCCACATGTGAAAACTCTTCATTCATCTACTCTTATCTGCTTAAGCAAAACAAAAACAGAATTCGTGTCGAAGAGTCTATTCAGTGGTTGGGATTAGGTAGCTCACGAGTATTGAGCAGCGACAACATCACATCTTTGCAGAGCTTTACAAAGTGATCCGATGGCGACTAATATGAACCTACAAATGGGATACCTCGCACCGCCCTCCTGCAACGTAGAGTAAGACGTAACGAATATGGTAGCTGGTAGGTAGATGGATTGGTATCGAAGAACACGTCCAAACACGTCCTTTCGTCGCCCTTATCAACCTCCATTACCTCAAAGATAAAAAAGATAAATGTTTTTAGATAAAAGAGAGATAAGAATAGCAGCGCTTGAGACACATCGCTTCTTCGAATGCCAAGCTCCAAGAAAACTGTTCGAAGCAGGGAGTGGACATTTCTCCCTAGGCTGAGGGTGTGTGAGTTGGTAAATGACCAGGGGCAAACATTTGGGTGGGATGCGAGAAAAGGCATGGAGCTCGCCTCTCCTCATCAGAAGTGCACCACATCTGTTCACTGTATTACAAATACCAGTTTAGCTGCGCACGCAACGCGCGCGCATCAAATGTAGATATATACAAACCCATTAGAATGTCATAATAAATTTTACTATAAAGGGTGGGCCGTTTAGTGCGAACTGACCCTTGCAGAATATTAGGTCACGTGACTGAGAACAAAACAACTAACAGTAAGATGTTTTGGAAGATGTGTCACATGATGTTTAAAGGTTGTCCAGTTTCGCTGAAGATTGTCGCGTAATGCGCGCAGTAGCATGCGGAATGAGAATGGTACTTATCATGACTTCGTAAACATTTAGCATTGATATCGAGCTCGGGCGATTTAGCGGTTTATAGAATTCCCACAATTGAAGAATCGGTGTGTAAGTGGAATATAACCAATCAATCAGCATCAACCGATGATGGAAATTGGAAATATGATTTTATTCGCTATTAGTCCAAGTCCAGATAGTGGAGCAGCTCAACTTCCTTTGCTTTTTTAGATGAAAGGGTGGAAATGGAACATATTCCCGTGCTAGGAATCTGGTTAAGTTTAACCGAGTGCACACTCAATTGTCGCTATTTTTATTAGTGCACCTGCCTTTCATACCCCTTTCTGTCACCCACATTCACCGTATCTCCGTCCCATCTTGTAGCGTGTAGGAGCTAATATTTACTGTCACCACGAAGGCTACAACGAAATCAGCGGTACTCAAAATCCTAACTTCTTTATCAACCGTTATCGGTTGTTATCGCTTTTGATCACCCACTATCCGTGTTCCCGTCCCATCCCCTATACCACATGTGACAGCCAAGGTTCCAATGTCACCGCGAAAGCCGCAACGAAACTGGTAGTATCCACACTTTGACGCCCCTTATCAGTTCTAATCAGTTGCTACCACCTTCTTCCAATCACCCTTTTGGTCCCTGCCTCACCCCACATAATATTCATGAGTGCGAACATCTTAGGGTCAACGCAAAGGGCGTTGCGAAAATGACGACGTTAGCATTCCGACGTGTAGAAGTTGGTGACATCGGCATTCTGACGCCCGTTATCAGCTTCTATCAGTACTTATCACTTTCCGCCACCCATCATCAGTGTTCACGCCCGACCCCCTATATACCCTAGAAGTTTGAGCGCTCTGGGTCCAAAGGGAACGAAGTTATGAATTTCCGGTCAGACACACACACACAACCGCTTAGCCGATTATATATAGTAGGATTGCTCCTGATTTTCGAAACATATACGCGTTGCGACGGTTTTGTAGGGTCGCAAACCGTCGCACCGTCATAAGTCTCACAGGGTAAATGAAAGGTTCTCTAAAGAGTTAGTCTCTTCTCTCTTAGGCTAGTCTAACCATATACAAAACTACCGATTTGGTTGAAGCTGTAATAAGTTTAGTTTATATTATTTATTAAAGTTAGTTATGATAACTATTGTCGATCCCTCATTTGACTTCGCCTCCCCCGACTTCCACTATCTCTCCAATTGTGGACCAGCTCTCAGTAGGAGGCGGCCAATTGAATCGTACAGTCGCCGCGCCGCCGCTCGCGGCTTCTTGGGCGGCGTCGCAACGCGACATTTTTTAAAGAAGCGCGGGATTTTTTGGATTTGAAATTAGTTGGCCTTCACCCCGATCAGGCACATAATCGGGAAAAGTGGCGTCGTAATACCAGGAAAGCGGACCCCGCCACAGGGTGGGACAAACGCTAAAGAATAAGAAGAAGAAGGTAGGAGCAGCGAATTCCCTGCTGTCCACAATAATCTCTGTGAGGCGCAGATACCGAATCACTCCCATGCTTTGGTTTTTTCATAGAAAGTGGCGTGAAAAAAAAACTGTTTTCGGTTTCATAAATAGTAATATTGAAAACACAAAAGGAAAAAAAGCATGATGGAATTGAGACTATGCATTGATTAAAAATGAGAAGATTATTGCTGAAAAGACGAGCTCACAGAGCGTTCCTCTAACGTTCAATGAGGTACACAGAAACTCGTCCAGTGCAGTTGCAACGTCGCGGCCACAGCGCAGGGTCCGAACGACTCTGTCCGCTCTTACCATTAGCTCCCGCCTTGACGATTTCATAACGAATTCCCGAGTTATGTTCGACCGATTTTCGAAAGTTTTGCAAAACGAAATTGCGATATTCGCCTTCTAGGCCCCCTTAATCAGCTCTTATCATCGTTATCAGTTATATCACGTACCATTTGTGTCCCCATCCCACCCCCTATAACATGTATAAGAACCACGGCGCTGTCATTGGTGTGACTCGAGCTACGAATTTATGGTCAATCGCACACGCACCAACAGACACACTTAGCCGATTATACACTGGTGTGCAAAACTTAGGGACGAGATGGATAAAGTAGCATAAAACACTAATGACTTGGTGGGATATGTACAGGAAACTAGACTTTTGACGGTGGAAGAAGAGCTTGAACAAAGTGCCAAATATGGCCGACCGCGCAAATCGAGGCAGTCTATGGGTACGAAAATTTTTTTTCATCAACGAGTAGCTGCAAAGAACTGTGGTAGTATCCTTCGATACATCATGTCCCGAAGAGAGCATCTGGATGACTTCACTCGAGGAAGGATCATAGGGAAACTCGAAGAAGGTCGAACCATGACGAGTGTAGCCCAGGAGTTCGGTATCGCTCACAGCGTTGTTTCACGTGCATGGAGAGCGTTCCGAACCTTTGGTGCTGCTGCCCGAAGACGAGGAGGTGGCCAAGGAAACACCAAGGGACGACCGTTACATTGTGCAGCAGGTAAGAAGAGATCCTCGTCAGTCGGCTTCGGCTATTGCAACGACGTTAACAGGACTCTAGGGCAAGCCATCTCACGCACTACAGTGGCAAGACGACTGCATGGGGGTGGTCTCTTCGCCCGACGACCGCTACGTTGTGTTCCTTTGACCCCGCGCATCGGCGAGACCGTTTACGGTGGTGCCAGGAGCATGGCGAATGGACCGATGAGGAATGGAGCCGTGTGCTCTTTTCGGATGAGAGCAGGTTCAGTCTGAGCAGTGATTCTGGACGCACCCTCATATGGCGAGAGGTGGGAACACGCAACTCCCCCCGAAACATTGTCGAACGTGATCGTTCTGGTGGTCGAGGTGTTATGGTATGGGGAGGCATCAGTTGCAGGCAGGGTGAATAACGGTCGAGGAAATCCTCGACCATAGCTCTCTACCATGCGAGAGTAGTGCCGAGAGTGAACATCCGCGCGGAGAGCACAGACGGCACGGCATGGCGAGTGTGAATGTCCGCGCGAGAGATCGTCTCTGATCGGGCAGAGAATCCTCGACGTGCCGTTGAGGAATCCTCAAGCGATATTCACCCTGCTCACCAGTCAGCGTTACTGCGACGAGGTTTTCCTACATCATGTCCGTCTTTTCAGAGCTGCAATCGGCCCTGACTTCATTTTCATGGATGACAATGCGCGACCGCATCGAACAGCACAGGTGGATGAGCTTCTAGAACGAGAGGATATCCGGCGAATGGAGTGGCCCGCCCGTTCCCCGACCTAAATCCCATCGAGCACGTGTGGGATGCACTGGGTAGACGCATTGCAGCACGACCAAATGCACCAATGACGATCCAGCAATTGTCAAATGCACTGATTGAGGAGTGGAATGCCCTGCCCCAGGAACTCATTACCAACCTCGTGGAGAGTATGGGATCGCGTTGCAGAGCATGCATTGCTGTCCGTGGTGATCACACACCCTATTAGGATCCGTGTAACTTCTTTTGTGGTACCAGGATAATTCGTGAAGACTTATGTGTAATCGACATGGTTGAATAAAAATGTCATAACTATTCGTCTTATTCCGAGTTTCTGTCAGTTGCTTTCTGTACAATATCGTTAAGGTTCTCTCTTGATATGGTATGAATTTCATCGAGCTATGTTGTCTGGCAGAGGTACAGTGATCGAAAGTTGGTTTCGTCCCTAAGTTTTGCACATCAGTGTATATAGTAGCATGTTGCCTCTTCATTTTTCATTAGTGCATGTGTGGTTCCAACAGTTATCAAGTTACAACAATTTTTTGATCACCTTTTGAACAGAATTTATGGCTTTCCAGCCTACTTGATAAACAAAAAGGAAGTATTCCAGAAGGCATGGAAGAATATGCACGGTATCCACGCAAGTTAGAGTTGGCATAAACGCCCTTTATGGGATAAAGGCCCTTCATGATGTAGGTGCTTGAGCTGTTGAAGTATGTTACTATAGAAGCGGACGCTTGTCGATTTCAGATGGGTTTTATACACCGAGACATAAAACCAGCAAACATGGCCTTGGGAACCTTTGATAGATCGCGAATTATACACATTTTCGACTTTGGACTAGCCAGGCAGTACGTGATTTTCCCAAAAAATGGTCGACCAAAGTTGCGGCGGCCAAGAGATAGAGCTCGTTTCAGGCAAGTTTACCATGTCAACTGAAAACACAATCTTCCGTTAATTTCATCTTCACTTTCAGAGGAACGCTGCGTTACTGTTCCATCAATGCGCAAGAAAGAGGAGAGCAAGGACGGCCGGATGACTTATGGAACCTACTGTACATGCTGGCAGAGATGAGGGGGAAAACTTCCGTGGGATCATTTAGAGTAAGCTTGAGTGTGTATGAGTGGAGAATGGAATACGGATAAAAGTGAACACATCGGAAAAAATCAAATCAGGAAAGGAGAAAATTTGCAGGTGTGGGACTACTGTTCGGTTGCAGTGTTAGGCTGAGAAATAGAACTAAACCAGGTACTTCGCTTGCAGTTCAACTTGAAAATTCATTTTTAGGACAGATGCAGAGATTCTTCACTACAAAAGGAAAACCTCGCCGGAGAAACTTTTGCACAATTGCCCAGTTCAATTACTGCGTGTCTTCTCTCATTTGAAGTGAATCAACATATTGTTATAGAGTTATCCGCGAAAATGACTGCCGTTTAAATTTCAGAACCCTTAATTACTACATTCGACCAAACTACTCACTCATTTACGACTCTTTGGAAAATATAAGGAAACAAGGCAACATCAGGTAAAAAAGATTCAAGATGTTTTCAGTTGGATACGAAAAATCCATTCAATAGGTTTTCCGACCCATATGACTGGGAGTTTGAACAGTCTCTGCAGTCCTTCCAAGACGAGTCCAAGCTAAAGAGGATTGTCACGTATGCCTTATCCTTTGGATATCTCGTGATATATACTTCCAAAAATGCTTTTCAGCTCACCAGATGGAACTCCAGTGACGCGTTCGGTCAGTGGTACCCCAGCATCGATGTCTCGCGGCGCTGTCGGACGTTTTCCTCCTACCATGAGACATGTTTGTTTTGAAATATTGTGTATTTTTGGATTTTTCAACGAGGGAGTTTTCAGGATGTGGATGTGAACCCATTTCCAGCAGCATTTTTCTCATTTAATCCCCTTGGTTTTTAGAAGGAAACGTTGATATCGCTGCATTATATAATATTTCGCACTTAAGTTGTTCACTTCTCATACGATTGTGTCATAATCTGCTTGCAATTTAGATGGAACTTAAATGTACCGCCTCACTTAATAATAAAGAAATTATTTGAAGGTTAGCATGAATCGTCCAACTAAAAACACTTTCAAGTATTCATAATGGATTCTTTTACCTACAGTAGCGGTCAGAAGTGTTTGCCGAAACGTTTGTCGTGCTTCTCTTGCCTTTTTATTTATTTATTTATTTATTACGTTGCATAAGGCAATCGTGGGAAATACAATCGTAATAAATCACTCATGATACAATTAAAACTCATCAGCATCTCAATTGAATGACAAAGGAAAATTCATCACATCACACAAAGGAGGATCAGGAAGAAAGTCAATTTCAAGATCCTACGAAACTTCATATTTGAGTAGTTTTGCAGATATCTTCCTTTTGAACTGCCTCAATGACATATGGCTTTTGGTAACTTTTATATATGCACTTGCCGCTCTGCATGTGAAGCTATTGGCTCTCCAATTAGTTTTTGCCTGAAAAAAGTCTGTGATCTCAAAATTGCTCTTGAGTAACTTGAATCTCTAAGACTCAAGGATATGAAAACACTAGAAAACGTACCATATCAATCTTTGAAGAGCATTGCTCGAGTGAGAAAAGATAATGCACGAAAAAATGGTTTCGGCGAACACTTTTGACCGCTACTGTATGTCTTTCCTTGAAGGCACAATTCGGGATTGGCACGCTCCCGTGGTCCCGCCCGATTGTGACGGACGAGC